CCCTACCGGTGCGCCGCCTGCGGGCGCAGCTTCAGCCAGAAGCAGCACCTGCTCAAGCACCAGCGCGTGCACCTGGAGACCCTGTCGCCCACCCCCAGCGTCAAGGTCGAAGCGCTTTAGTGCACCTGGACCCGAAGGGACCCAGGGGGTGTTTGCGGGGGTGCCGGTGGGGAATGGCCGGACTGGTGGCTTCTAGCACCCCAGGGGGTGAGACCCTATCACAAGCTCTGAAGGGCCAGAAGCAGCACCTGCTCAAGCACCAGCGCGTGCACCTGGAGACCCTGTCGCCCACCCCCAGCGTCAAGGTCGAAGCGCTTTAGTGCACCTGGACCCGAAGGGACCCAGGGGGTGTTTGCGGGGGTGCCGGTGGGGAATGGCCGGACTGGTGGCTTCTAGCACCCCAGGGGGTGAGACCCTATCACAAGCTCTGAAGGCCTGAGAACAGAATTCCAGAAGCATCCCGAAGGGAGACCGCAAAAGGTCAGTTCCCCGTAGGCTGAGGGAGGAGGTGGGATCAGGCATTCCTCACCCTGGAGCTGGGATGTGGCCCTGACAGGTTGAGGGCCAACCCCGTAAACTTCCTCAGAGGTGGGACCCCAGCCCTCAGGCGCCAGGTGGGGGCCTTTGGGGGCTGAGGGAGAGGCTCCCTGGCGTGAAATGGCCCAGGTCTGGACTGGTCAGCGGTAGTGCCGCCTGCCACACGCAGGCGAGGGAGGGGCGCCAGCACTTCGTGGCCATGCAACACATAGTTTTGGAAGGAGTGAGTGGTTCTGTGAGTGCCCCACTGCAAGGGAGGGCGCTGTTATGGCCCGCCTGTCCCGAGGACGGGAATGTGGGAGACGGTCAGGGGCTGGGGCACAAGGGGTGTGGTCTCAGCCGAGGTTTGGTGGCTTGGGAAGGGTCCTGCAGCAGGAAAGAGCCAAACCTGCTGCTCCTACTCCGTGGGCCTGGGGCATGCAGATGACTGGCTTGGCTCCTTACATGGCAGCGTTACAGAAGAGGAACATGAAGGCTTGACCATCTCACCTGGTCTCATTGTCTTTCTTAAGCTTCCCTTCCTGATCTCCGATCTCTGATCTCCGGGTCTCTGTGTGCTCTGAGGGACCATTTGCCCCAGGACCAGGGTAAGGAGCTTTGGCCACGAGCAGAGCACCTGCCCACACCCAATTCTCTTTCCCGCTTCCAATACAATTCATCTCTTTCCACATATTCCCCTCAACCTGCAGCCCCCAAGAGTCACTCCTCATGCTTTCCCAAAGCAGAATCCAGGGCTCCAGCTCAGCTGTAGCTTGGACTATATTTACCCACAAGAGGGGAGGGAATTGTAGAGAGGGGTGGTTGTTGGGGTGCTAGGGTTGGATAAGTGGGAGGAAAAAGAGGGGACCTAGCTAATTCTGTAGGAGGATGAACTATGTGTACCTGCCTCCCAGGGCTTGTGGGGTTCTCTGAACTCACAGATGTGTTTCCTTTTCCAGGACCTGGCTGTGTTCACCCTGGCTTCTGGTTACCCCTCTTCCCAGGTTTTGTTTAATCCCTTTCATCTGGCAGGAGTTCTAATTGTAGCATCACAGAAAGACCTGTGGAGGTGATGACTCAGCTTACCTGGGGAACACAGTGCTGGTAATGGTTAGTGTTCAGCCAGGGCTCTGACTTTGGTCCAGGTCTTTGATCATAAACCATGCAGTGTGAAATCTCACGACCATGCAGGGTATGCTCATCCTTCAATCAACTTTCAGGAGCAGGCAGAAGCCAAATCAGAAGGGTTTTCCTAGGCCCCCTCTCTGACCCACACCAGCCCTAAGTGCTCCCCTTTCTCCCTGTAATGCCTGCCTGGCTCCTCCCCCAGACAGTAGTTTGGATCTCATCAAAACCCACTTTAGCCTGGCCAGTGTGGCTCAGTGATTGAGCATTGACCTATGAAGCGGTAGTTCACATGTGTTGGGCAGGACACATGCCCGGGTTGCAGGCTCGATCCCCAGTAGGGGGTGTGCAGGAGGCAGTCAATCCACGATTCTCATCATTGATGTTTCTCTCTCTCCCTTCCTCTCTGAAATCAATAAAAAACAAAAACAACAACCCAAAACCTACCTTAACCATGGGGAAGGCTCAAGAGTCCTTTGCTTCTTCCTCTTTGCCACTTATCAAATCCGAGACCAACTCAAGTGAGCCCACCTACTCCAGGAAGGCATCCTAGAATACCACTGTCTGCAAGGACGGACCTACAGAAATGCTGGAGCCCGTGGAATCGGGTGCCTGAGGGGCAGGGCAGACACATACTGCAGAGACAGGCAGGGAATTTCTGTACCATAGCTTGTTATCTTCCACAAGTGGCCTGTGTTCAGTGATCAAATCAAACAGCTGTATTGGTAGGACTTGGGGTTAATGAGCCTAATCACAGCTTTTTCCCTCCAAGCAAAATCATGAGGATGCCTGCTCACTGACCCCAGGTGACAGATTCTCTCACCAATGGGTGCTTTGGGTCACAATGGGGATAGAGCCAAGCCCATCAAAGGTGCATGACCTGTTGACCCGGACAGGGGATGGCACACATTGACCCATTAACCAAGCCTCCTGTGTGACAGGCACTGTGTCAGACTTCAGGGATGCTGTGATGCATAAGCCACTGTATCAGTCAGCTTGGGCTGCCATAATAAAATACCACTGGGGGCTTACCCAACGCAGTCTGGAGGCTGGGAAGTTCAAGGTCAAGGTGCTGACAGATTTGGTCCCTGGTGAGAGCTTCCTGCCTTGCAGATGACGACTTTTTCTCTGTGTCCTCATATGGTGGTGGGTGGTGGGGGGAGGGAGGAAGGGCCCATAACAGTGCTCTGGTCTCTTCCTTGTCTTATAGAGACACTAATCTCATCACGAGTAGCCCACACTCATGACCTCATCCATACCTGTCTCCCAAAGGCCCTATCTCCAAATGCCATCACATTGGGGGTCAGGGTTTTAAATATGGATTTGGGGGGGGGGGCGAGGGGACAGACATGATTCAGTCAATAGCAATCACAGTCTCTCCCCTTGAGAAGCTCACTGACCTTCACAGAATATCACTTTAATGCACACACAATTTGGAACCATCTATATGGTCAGCTCTTGAACAAGTTGTCCCAGCCCCGGCTCTCTTGGTGAGGCTTTCTTGTTCATCTCCTTTAGTTTCCCACCAGGCAGTGACCTGGGCAGGTAATGCTGTAGGAAAGGGGGATGGGGACTGTGGGACTTGTCCAGCAGGTCATGTTGCAAATTGACAGCAGGTCCCAGGCCCCCAGTTAACCTAACCCTCTTCCACGGTCACAATCACAGGCTTCTCCAAGGGAGGCCTGACATTGTCAACTTCAATTTCCATGGCCTTTCATTTTAAAATAATAACACTAGGTCAGAGAATATTTAGGAAGAGCCACACCATGAAATCAGAGACAAGAAGGTCAGGCCTATCCTAGTGGTTTATAATTCAAAATGCTCAGGAGCACGCTGAGATCAAAGGGTTGCTGAAGGGAACAGAAAACCACCATGTTTAAAACATAAAAATCGTAAAGAACATATCCTGTCCATGGCCAGGTAAGTGCAAGTCTGTGGTGAGGACCCGTGGCCAAGCTTCTAGCAGGCCATGTGAGCGTGGTGGAGCTGGGGTCCAGAACCGCCTGCATAATCCTTGTATTCCATCCTTAGGAGCAGGCCGGGAGCTAGAAATTTGACTTAGGTCCTTGGAAAGTGGCTGTGCTCTGGCAAGCGCCGTGAGCTTCAAGTCAGTGGTAAGGTGGTCACCTCCTTGCCAGGATTTGGTGCCCCACTGCCCAGCCCCAGGGAGCTTCCCCTGGGAGAGAGGGTTTGGAAGCCAAGGCGGATGTGGGCAGCTGCAATGACCTGGGAGAGAGCGGGCCCAGTAGGGACTTGGTAGTGGGTGCCTAGTGTACGTTAGGGATGCTACTGAGATTTTTTCTTTTGAAGCAATTGGGTTTGGAAAAGAAATATCCTAGACCCTTTGTTAAGAGGAATAGTATTGGAGTGCCTAGTGTACATTAGGGATGATACTGAGATTTTTTTCTTTTTTAAGCAATTGGGTTTGGAAAATAAATATCCTAGACCCTTTGTTAAGAGGAATAGTATTGGGGCTGAAACCA